TCATCTTGGACGGCGGGATGGGCGCCATCCTGAAAGGGGGATGGCGCCCATCCCTCCTTTCAATTTTTCTTAACTTCTCGATTCTGGTAACGGATAATGGCTTACACAAGCTTACTAACGTACCTAGCTTCGTCAAGCAGATGATTGACAGACATTTCCAATGAACCGTTGGATACGTTTCATACATTTTATTTTTTAGAAAACACACCAGTTCGCACATAACAATAATCTCTCAAATTAAATGAAAAACGCACATATATCTGAATGACAGAGGGAGCTCCTAAAGACCGGCTTATTGTCGACAGCTGGTCCCCTAGAATTGTATGGATTTCTCCGAGCCACTGATCATCAAACGGAATGAACGAAAAATCAAGGAACAGTAGCGAATGAATAGCTTCAGTGGAGGATCGAAGTCTTAACCTCAACGTCAATGTGACAATTAGCCGTTTCAGGTCTGGCCTGAATCACAAAAAACGCAACAAATGGATAGAAAGTTGACAGTATATGCGACTTTTGATATGATTTATGCTCAAGAGACTTCCCTAAAGAATAACTGTCAAACATGTGAAACGCCTTGCCATTCGGCTTGAATTTCACATCATTACGGTGTCTCAGCTTTGAGCTTGAGCAGTAGATTTTGACTGTCTCTACAAACGCCATCTGAATCCGTTCTATGTCGGAGACTCCCCCGAAAAGAGAGGTTCCACCAAAAGCTAGAAAACTCTGAGGCTTTTATTCGCTGTAGCCCCAGCACGTCGGGAAATTTAGACGACACTTCGAGCCAACTATTGATGGGAAGCACTCCAAATCCGGGCAGCTGGAATTCCAGGTCGTGTCATAATACAAAATTCCAGAGAAGGGAAGCAGATTAACCGTGAGTCTACTGCAAAAAGCATTGAAGCTGAGAACCGTCCATATAAGAGATCGGAAAGGAAAAGAACGCGCAAGTAAGAATCTGAAAGGCCTAGACCCTTCGGAAGGATATGTGGAACTGTACCTCTACTACCCTAGAAACTCTTCGCTCTAGCAGAAACTCAAACGTAACTCAAACGAAACATTAATATCGACGTACAAAAAAACTATACACTTACTAAAATCAAGAAAGAATCAATAATATCAAGAAAGTGAATACGGTCATGAATACAGCACATACGTAGAGCGGCATAGTACAACAGTAATTCCACTACAACAGCTTCACAAGAACAGATCACAGATGTGCCGTATGAAACCAGCAAAACGCCCAGCAAGGCGCGGCGAATAAAAAGGCTCGAACATGAGACCACATGCACCGAGTCAACGAAGGACCTGAGGAGATCACTGCAACTGTTTACGGACAACATTCACACGTATACTGGTGTGAGGTTATGGCTTTTCTCGAACTCATTCCACCGCGCGTCATCGCTTTCGTGGGTTAGAAAACGTTCGCCAACGGCTTTTTCCAGCAAGCGAAGATCCGACCACAATTGGTAGCCCTAAAAGATCGCACTTTTTTTCAACGACCACAATAATAAAGAACAACGATGGATCTCGTTACAAAAATCATTCTTACGCGCACAGGGTACAGCATCGTGATGTCTGAAATCGCGGTATCAGTACAACGTACTCCAATTTTCTCATTTGATACAACCCCCACCCCTTCCCCATGGTGCCCACCATCTTCTTAAAGGCACATTCCGCGATAAAATAAGGCTATGACCTCTCAAATGTGTCGGACGATCCGGAAGGCGATTTTTGAGGCTGCGCTACTTTCAAAATGTGAAAAACGGCAAGAACTCCGCTAGAAGCTGACTAATTAGGCCCATGGACACCCCTTAGGCCCATGCCGACCCTCACCGGCTGCTAGCTACTAGCTAGTAGCCACTATGTTATCTTTCTCTATAACATTTCGGACTGCTTTTTCTGCTGCTTTTCTCCGCTAATCAGATACTTAGCACTTTTTTGTGCCTATTTGAGTTCCGTTTCCCGCAATTTGCGGTCGCGAACTGTGCCTTTAAGCTTTCCCAACTTTTTAGCATTTTGCCCAGCTTTCTAATAAGCCCCCGCACTCCTTCCCTGAGAATTCCTGTCTAGCGAGGGACGGGCAAATACAACCTTCCTCCCTCTCCATCAACTATGGCCCCCTCGCATGATCTCACAACCTCTGATCTGTTCCCTGCACGCACCCCTCCTATTGAGGAAGGAACCCTTTTCTAATGCCGTTCCTGCATATTTAAAACCTTCAATATTCATCAGCAGAGCATGTGCCTACATTTGAAAGACTGTATTTTAGGTCAAAAGATCCGAAATGCGGCGACGTGGCGAAAGAAATATCCCGTGAACGGCCCAATATTGGCTGCAACGCAGTTAAATTCACTACGCTCGCGCGTGCGCGATGACATATTTCAGCGCGTCATCGTGACTCGGATCTGTCAACCTACACCCTGGATCAGATGGTAGAATTCCGGGAAAGTGAACAGTAGCACTGCGATCGCGTTGAAAATGATGGGATGAATATGTAGTAGAAGCGCACCTAATGGTCCAACCATGCGAAAAAGAAACCCGATCCCTCACTCAGTGCAGTGTACATTACTAATCGTATTGCTCTAGGGCTGTAGACTGATGTCAAAAGCAAACTAGGTAGTATTGCTAGGTCTGAAGCCATATGGAAAAACAAGAAATGCTGAGCTTTTAGGCGCGAGATGCGTCCCTCGACCTAGCAGGAGCAATATGTTTTTCGGAAGCGTAATTTACCATACAATTTATAGTAGCCCCAGAGGGACTATACTATAAAAGATGACGGACCCTCCAACACAGTAGGTTAGTCCGTGAAAATCTCAAAAGCCACTACGCGGTGAGTGTCTCAGCACCAAGTGTGCCTTGAAGGAATTTTGAAGAAAATACAAGGTCAACCCTACCCCCCCCCGAGCTCCTCATCTCAAAACCAAAACTCGGGGTAAAACCAAATAAATTACATGCGACATAGGCAATACATGGGCGACTATCTTATCATCATCTTATAAAAATTTATAAAAGATGTCATAAATAGTACAAAATTCAAAAAACTGCGCTCACCTGCATCCATATATGGGACAGCGCCTTGGAGACCGTGAATCGTTTATTCATTTTCACTTGTAACAACCCATTTATGAATTCGATTGCTGGAAAAGAGCACTAAATCTTCATCTTATTCATAAAACAAATTTCAATTCTGGGCACCAGACCGTTCATAAGCTGGGAAGGTAGATCGTATCGCGCCCAGGATACAGCATCGTGATGTGTAAAATGGTGATGTAGGTACGACCCCCCCCCTTTTCCCAACTCTACCTACCTTTCAACTTCAACTTCCTAGCACTTTTTCCGGAATTTCCCGAGAATTTCTTGTCACTTTTACCCAAACATTTTTCTGTCGAGTGGAGGGGGAAGTATATTTGTAGTGTGGTATGATACAGGAAAAATCACGCGAAAAGTCAGCAACCAGGAAGAATTTTTCCCCAACACAGCATATTTCTACTGGAGGGACATACGACCCCCCCCCTCTGGCCACGACTATATACGCCCCCCTCCTCAGCGAAAAGGTGCGACTCCCATGTGTTTCACACAATGATGCTGTACCCTGATCGCGAGTACGCAGACTTGGTGAAGCAAGTGGCCCACGTTGCTCTCTACCCGAATGCAGCTATCCTTCACTCGCAAATTCGTCTCCAAACCTCGGATTATTTCGGAAAAGGGGTGTGATGTTTCAGCGCGAGTTGCGCTCTTTCCGTCCACTTCGCAAATTGCAACCTCACGAGGGGTATTTTCGCTCACCCCTCGTGTTTTCACGACATCGGGGTGTTCTCCGACTGCGAAATGAACTTTTGGAGCAAAGTATTCACCACAGAAGTCACCCCTCTATACGTTTCTCTTACCTACGACCCATCCTTGCAAGTTTTTCCGGTTTTTATTTTAAGTCCTTCAGAAATATAGGCACAAGAACCATCCATCTTGGTGGGGGCTCCACCTATCCTGTACACTATCTTGCGTCTCCTGAGAGGCTACTTTCAACGGTGGCAGTTTATTCGCAATCTGGAACTAACTCTTGGACTCTTAGCCAAAACTCCTCTAGTATCCAGCCAAGGAGCCCACTAAAACAGGGACTGCAAAATGGGGGTAGACAAGAGCTAAGGACCATTCATGCTGTAAAAAAGGGATAAAGCAAGTCGTCGTCGTCTTGCCACCTCATAAGTGTTACGGGCATCTTTGCTCACCTGAGTCGCCGATATCTTTCCACGGATTCGGTGGATACATGAATTCGGCGTTCTGGATTTGATCATGGATATCCTCATCCTCGTTGAAGGGGAATGTACCAGAGAGGCTAAAATATAGTAGATCAACCTAATCAAACCATGCTTATGATAATTTTTCCTTTGTTAACCCCTGGAAGAATGAGTAGCCACCAACATCAAGAGCGTCTCAAAAATGTGTGAGATCTGCAGGCTATTCCTTGTCGAATTCGTTTAGAAAAGCAGAAACAGTGCACAATATATGCGCCATCATCATCATGAATAGCAAAGCGTGACAAAAGTGCTCAATTCATCTACCGTTTTGGATATGAAAACTGCTGCTCTTAGGCAGCGTTCAGACTTCGCGACGGCAGCGCTTCGGTCGCGCGTTCGAACAATCAATGCAGTCGAAAGCATGCGCATCGATCGTGACGCGCGACCGAAGCACTGTCGTCGCGAAGTCTGAACGCTGCCTTAGGGGCACTGGAGTGACTATGAGTTGTTCACTCAAAGACAGCCCTCGCGCTTGAGTAATTCATGGTCATCTCATCAAAGACAGCCCCTCCACTTCGAGTAGACGGTTGGTCATACTTCCTTGTGCAAGCAGTACAGCCCCCAGGCCAAGAGACTATCCCACTCTCGCGACTCCACAGCGAGCGAGAGCGTGCTACAGCCGCTGAAAGTTCTAATTCTAACGCCCGCTCAGTTGGACCGCCCGCTTGCTAGATGCCCACTGACGGAGGGCCGTTCAGTTGTTCTTTGTTGGAGCGGCGGCCATCAGTCGGATTTGCATATCCTTTTCGCTAACCGCGCTCGTGCCCATAAGTGATTCTGCTCTCCAGTATTACATATTATTCATTGGGAGCACATACAGTCAGCTGCAACCCATCTCGGACCAAGGAAACGCTAAAATCACGAGCGATGCAATTTTGCTGGTGTCAAAAGCTCGACGCCTGGAAAGATGCACGCATACGCAAACCCTAAAGTCGTACCCCAAGTTTTTTGGAAAGCTTACTTTTGCTTCAGGTTCTTCCGTCTGTGTTTTGTTGCCTTTTAGTATAATCTTTTCTTTGCATTGCATTATGCAAAACTTGGGGATGCCAAAAGCGAATTGTCAGTAAGGGGTTGCACAAAGACCGCAAACAGTGTGACTGCCAGGGATTTTGTTTATGGTATTATTGAGACCCTTGTTTTTTTCTTATTATTCTTATCAGCTACTGTTTCATAATTAAACAGCAACTATCCATGACACTTTATCGCAGGAACTGTCTTCAATGTGCTTAGCATAGACCACATAACTGGATCTCGTGACTGCAGAAAGATCTTATACGAGATTTAATAAGTTGTCGCGTTGCGACACAGTAAAGATCGCGTACGTAATACATAGAAGAAGGCCAGTAGTGAAGTATTACATTAACCCCCCCCCTCCCCCTGAACGCATTAACCAAGCGATTTTCATTAGTCGAAACAGTCATATGTGCGTAATGCAATCCGTATGAGAATAATCAGCGAATATTCGATAACAAGCTAGTTCTGGTTTGCTCACCTGACATAAACTATCACACCAACACTCCACATATCGAGAGAACGATTGAAACCCTTGTTCCGCAACACTTCGGGAGCCAAGTAGGCTGGTGTGCCTACTACTGACCGTCGGAAGGACTTCTCGCCAATAATCCGAGCAAAACCGAAGTCACACAGTTTCACCTTAAAAATGCCAGTAATGCAGATGAATTTCAGCTGCAAACTTCACTTTGACCGCGAGCACTTACCAGAGAATAGAGAGAGTGACAGAATTGAGGATTTATTAATTAGTTGTCGACTTTTAGTAGTTCAAGTAAATCCAAGAAATGGAATTAGGTTGTTCACTCGGCGAGAGGCGGCGGATTTTTAGCACAAGCTATCATATATCGACTTGTTGAGCCTCTAGAGAGCTATTATAGCTCACCGGGGTGAGAGTCTCACCATGGCGTCACGACAAGCTTGGTCCAGCTTCGGGAGGGTTCACAAGTGTGAGCAGAGTGGGACTTGTAAACCGGAACTAGGGAAGCAGCGAAAAAATCAAAATGCCTCCCGCCGTCGTCAGTGCGCCGATCCTTTTACGAATTCCATTGACTAGTATCAAGTCCCCCTCTATAGACCAGTAGAGAAGGAGACGCTCCAATGCTAGCAGGACAAAGTGGAATTAGGAACAGAAACAAAATAAAGTTCGATTCATATACCTGTGGGAAGTCGGAGTTTGACGTGAGGAGGATGTTTCTCTGGCTTCAAGTCGCAGTGAACGATGTTCTGATTGTGAAGATAACGGAGTGCGACAAGAATCTGCAATTTGCAAATGCTTATGCAATTCCAATTATATTCAACAAGCTTGGCTGACGCGCACTACTGCGCGTATGGTTGAACCTATGGTAATGGTACTGCGCTGACAGGATTCCTGTATTGACCCCGAACACTTCGCCCGATTACAATTTTTTAGAATACGGCCTATTTCATTATGATTCTCCTATTTAATGAACGTTTGCTAATGTCTGGTGCTTATCACATTTCTAAGAAACACTCACCATCCGTTGGAAATAGGACAGCTTAGCGGTTGAAAGACTTTTGATGGTAATAACATCGATATCATGGTGATATATCCTCACATTTCTCACATCCTAGTACTTCCGTTGAGCAGCTTCCAGGGCTTTTAATTTTCGTCGAAACTCGAGAGCTTAGCGGTCGTAACCATATCGCTAAGGGATAGAATACTTGACTCACGAAGCCTCTAACCATTGTTCCTTGGGCACCGGTGCTGAAGTTTATCAGTTGGTGGGTGGCAGGAAAGTGATAACAGCTTATCAGCTTATCAGCTGTTATCACGTCCTGCCACCCACCAATAATGTTCCCATCCTGCCCCCTATCTAACTTCTTGGAACCCACATCCCGTCGTCGCTGTGGTCCGCGCTATGGAGCTGGTGACCCTTCCTTTTTAAGGCCCCTTGTGGTATCTTATCAGCTGTTATCACTTCCTGTCACCCACCAATAATGTTCCCATCCTGCCCCTATCTAACTTCTTGAAATCAACGTCCCATCGCTGCTGTGGCCGGTGTTATGAATTAGGTAACTCACTCTTTTTGAGGCTCCTTATGGTATCTTATCAGCTGTTATCACTTCCTGTCACCCACCAATAATGTTCCCATCCTGCCCCCTATCTAACTTCTTGAAATCAACGTCCCATCGCTGCTGTGGCCGGTGTTATGAATTAGGTAACTCACTCCTTTCAAGGCTCCTCGTGGTATCTTATCAGCTGTTATCACTTCCTGTCACCCACCAATTCGTGTTCCCGTCGCTGCCCTCCTATCTTATTTTCTTGGAACCAACGCTCTAGTCTTGCTGTGACGCGCGTTATGAATTTGCTGACTTCGCCTTTATACGGCCCCCTATGGTATCTTATCAGCTCTTATCACTTCCTGCACCTACCAATAGTGTTCCTGCCCGACCTCCTACATCACTTATCAGTTTGAGCGCACAGTCGCTGTTTTGAAGGAAGTTATGAATTTCCGGTCAAACCATACAGACACACATACACTCACACACACACACACACACACACACACACACACACACACACACACACACACCACACACACACACACACCAACAGACAAACTTAGCGGATTATATATAGTAGGAGGATAAATGAACGTGAGGATTCCTTATGTTCGAAACTCAGAGTTTTATAACCTTGCTGCCCAATCTCACATGACTTTTCTCTATTACTTTGTTACTTCGCGGAAACGGTTGCGAAGACTATAAGAAGAAGCGAAACAAATAGCCCAAACAACAAGTTGTCCAGTTCGTGCCTGAGGCTCGTATTGCTGTAAACTCATTATGGATTTTTTGCCACTAAAAAAAATTTGTGAACGTTGAACATTTTGATCGGTGTTCGACTAGATGCATCTTACCTCAGGGGTGGACATAACTGAAGGTATTTCTATGCAATTAGCTGCTACTCTTCTTGTCAAGGGCAAGGCCGGCTGGCCCATGCGGCGTTTTGGGTATGGATATCACCGAAAGTGAGCGTTTTCAGCGCTGGACACGAAGTCTGTTCTTCGGGTTTGCGAGACTGTTTTCGGAGCGGTTTATGAGGGTTCCCTGCAGTTCATAATGACCCCTATCATAACTTTATGCATGTTCAACTACTCACCTAGTACCCTATTCAGGATGCAGCTCCACTTCACTGCTCCAGTACTGACGCTATTTCATTCTCTCATTCTTGCGTTATCATTCCTGTCCTGGTATTCCACTGCTGAGAAAACTGGGACAGGTGCGGCTTGCTGAATGTTGAGAGGGCAAACATCCCCTTCCCAGAAACCACTAGAAGAAAAACTGTGTACAGGTGATATTCGTCTTTGCCTGAGGTAGATAGGACCAAATAGAAAGACGAAGTGTCGAAACATGGCAGATCATCAGGTGTGAAACCTATCAAAGTACGTCGCATCACACCAATTTGTTCGATGTTGGTTTGTGCCATACCCCTCCCCTAATTGGCGGAAAGGCCCACATAACGGTGATGTTTTGGGAAAATTTGTAAGATGGAGTGGGTGGTGAGAGGGATATCGTACCGAGCCCTCTATCTGGGACAGAGTTCGTACTGACACCGTCATTTCGTCCATCCCGATGATGCACGCTGCCGAAAAGTTAGGCCAGATTCAGAACAATCCACTTGAGATTCCCGTTAGGGCAATATAAAACCATCGACTGAACCGTTACGTTTGGTAAAAAATGTTCCAATTTTCATAGCATAGCACAGAGATTATCGTCTTGGCACTATGACGCGTGAGATAAGGATCGCTTGTCGCTACGTTCGCACGCTGCGATTTCAGCAGATTGTTTATTTACTCACAGTGATTCTGATGTTTCTTGAGGGATAAGGCTGTTTACCTCGTGTGGAACCCTGATTCTTTCTTAATATGTTCCGAGCCCAGCTGTTTTCGGACTGATACAAGGTAGATGATCAGTTTTTTCTGACTAATCAGTTCTGGATTTATCCAAAAGCCGATATATTCAGTACAGTGCAGTTCGCTGCGGATGCTGGGGCCTATCAAAGAAGCTGTGTTTGGCGCAGCGCCAACCAATTTTCCACCGACTTGAGGTTGCTTGGCAGCTTCCACAATTGGTGGAAAACAGACTGGCGCCGTGCCAAATCCAGACCGTCCCGTGAAACGCCCCAATATCCGCAGCGAACAAGACTGTATGAAATAGAGAACGACTTGTTCAATATTAAGTGAGATTCATAACAAAAACGGAGCAAAATAATTATCGTTCCAGTATATTCCCATCACCCATATAAGAAAAAAAGATATCAAGACCATGAAAACACAGCGTACCTGAGAAACCAGAAACTGCGTAATCCGCTCACTCAATCGCCCTTTCTCGCTGGATAAGATCATCTCAAGCATGTCGCCCTGAAACAACACGCACAGTATGTATAGAGTAGCTGGAAGTTTTCAACTATATGAACAGTGAAAAACGATTCGAAATACCTTTAATTTCTCCATTACGACGAAAATTCGATCTGGAGTCTCCAACATTTGTTGGAAATCGACAACGCCCGGATGGTGCACTTTCTGAAAGGATTTCGATGAATCCCTCATTATACAAAAAAATTGATTGGGCTCGAAAAATCGCAAAGTCATTGATAAAATCGCGTGGAAATGTTCTTCTGGTTTTATGAGTGTGGGGGAAGGGCTGGGAGCAGAGAAGAGATCGACCAGGTCAGCGCGTCGGAACAGGGCATTTTCTGCCGCTTGGAGAATTCCCAAAAAAATACGACCCCTGTTTCCTCCTCTGGTATGACACCTTACCCCTTACCTCACCAGCAATCTCACAGACTTTTCCCTACTTCGTTTCATCACCTCCCACTTTTCGAGGAGTATTCCAGTTCTTTTCCTAAAAACTACCGTCCAGTGGGGCTCATTGCCACCGAACGATTACTAATTTCGGGTATTTTTACTTAGAATAACAGTTGTATAGAAATTTAGCGGCACCACCAAGTAGGGAGAAGCGATTCGAGAACCTTCCGCAGAGGCAGCTACGACGTCGCTCTTCCAACGATGAGCAAGTACGACGTCTTTCCCCCTCCCCTCCTTTCACCCCGCTGGAGATTCCCCAACGTACGTCGGTCGAGAATGCAAAACATCGGTTGGTATCTAGTTCAGGGAAGTATTCAAAGGGTGAGAAGTTCAAGGTGAGTGCCAAACTACACCCTTAGTGTTCTTTCGACAACGAGCTTTAATGCATTCATATCATCCACCAGCTGCATCAAGGAATCTGCCTATCAAATCAGCGGAAGTTATATCGCTCTTATCTAATGGCCATCACTAAGACGCATGAAGCGGTCTTTGATACTCTGGAAAACGCATCAGCATTCCTGATTAGGAATCAAGTTTTCCTGGATTGCTATGATAGACAAGGTGTGAGGCGAGGTGGATATAGCGAAAGGTGTGCACTCGTTAGCATCCGCGCCCAGACAGCGTTGGCTTGAACGATCGTGGACTGATATGTCTCACGCGGTCTCCATAATCACTACGATTCTCACAGCGCTTCACAGCAATTGGACTACATACTGCAAGCTATTTAATTGCTTAACCCTCTTCCTTTTCCTTCTTTTTCTTTTCCTTTGCCTCTTTTCCCCTTTTTTCTTCCACTTGCAATCCCATTCATCGCTTCACTCATCCTCCAAGTGTAAGCCTTATATTCGCTGAATTTTTCTTCTAATTACTATTCAAATCTGTTCAGAAATGTACTTTTAAAGGACCTCAAAAGACCCACTGTAGCAAAGCCAGGAACTGCAATTAAGTTGAATACATGAGTTCAACCAGCTCGCCGACCAAACACATTCCCTGGGGATGAAAGATTAGCACCAGAATTCCCTTAGAGAACAAAGCTAGGGGTTTACAGATCAGCAGCCCCCGTAAGCTATACTATAGAGCAATCACATGTTCAAAACGCAAGCGATTCTAGATTGCTGGCGAGTGCGCGGCGTCAGCTCATTTTTCCGAATGCGCGGTGGACTTCAGAACAGGATAACGAAGAACAGCTTGAGCAATAGCACGCGGTTTATCCTGTTTAAGACAGCGCTTTTGTTCTGGTGAAGGTCGGTTCTGACACATCTCGAGCCCATTGACTAGCCCAGATGTTCCAGTCTGATTTCTGACTTCAATTAAAAGGTAACGAGTTGGATGAATGCACCGGGAGAAGTATCCCGCAAAAAAAATTCGATAGGGGCTTCGATTCAATGCGTTCGTAATATTTTTCCAGGAAGCGCTAGTGTTCTTTATTTTCCGTGTGTTTCTGCTGATGTTTGTTTGGTTTCTTTCTTAATTATTTCTAAGAACTTTCGGAAATGTCTTATCGAGTTTTCTGCAAGCGCTAAATATTAGATAACGAAACGTGCAACCTTGCAAAGACGTTTTTAGCACAAATTCTGAACGTAAAGAAAGGTGGAGCTTATACATTGCATCAACCACGTCATCGTCAATTTCTGCACTGGGCTTATGCCGCCTATTGATGTCAGAGCTCAAAAAACCGCCATTCGTTATCTGATGTCTGGCGAACGAAAAAGTGTTAGAAAATCGTCCGGCATATGATTACAGAACAGGAAACATCATTGTGATGACGAAAATTCTGCAGGAGGACCCACCCTCCTCTCATTAGGAGTTCCAGTATGGTCCTCCTCCCTTCCTCTGCCCATGGAGTGCCCCGTTTCTGCCTAGAAAAGGCGGGTACAATACAACAGATTCGCGTCACGGGTAACACAAACCTTGTCAAGCTAGCATCCGAAATTCTGCATATTTTATCAATACGCGTCCCCCATCAGATCTATTTCCAACTTTCAGAGAGACCATCCACTACCTCCCATAGGTCTCAAGATAGTTGTGATGTCGTCAGTGGGCTCACGCCGTGCTTAATGAAGAGCCAATTATTGTATTGAGATATCTATGCGCAGCCCCTATGAGTGGGTACTCACCGCGAGGCATTCTTAGCCTCTAATAATAAGTAATCTTTTGGATACCAAAGCCATCCAAATTCCCTAGAGCGAGGAGTAAGGTGGGTATCCGACTGAAATCAGGACGCTAACACTGACCCGAGGACCTCACAGTATGGGCAGGTCTTGCTGTGACTAAAATGCCTGTCGAATCGACTTTCATCCGAAATTCATCCTTTGTACCCCCTTCACCATCCTACCTACCATCTTCCCTGAGTTCCTTCCTACCATCTCCATGAGTTCCCCAACTTCATACCATTTTCGGAGTTCTGTACCAAAATTCTCCACTTTTTCTTAAAAAAAAAACTGCGGTCAAACGGAGATGAAGGAAACGGGAAAAAAACCGAGAAAAAAGTCGGAAGATCCATAATCAACAACTTTTTCACAAAGGCCAATAGGACCTCTATACCCAAATACCGCCCCCTCGCAGGGTTTTTCCAAGGTAAAATATGTCCTACTCACAGGTCACGGTAGGCCTCGCTCCATTAGCCTCACACAACCCTCTGTCCCTCTGGTGTAATTTGCCAATTCCCTGAGTGGTAACGCTGGCATTTACGGTCCATATAGGCTGGGATTGAATTCGTCAAGCATACATTCATGTGCTTCTCCGGCTGTGAAATACTTGAGCGAGTGAAATGCGCAGGAGATTGCTTAATGCTATTCACAAAATTCTTTTATATTTAGATTTAGCAGAATATTTGTATATTCACCTCATTACGTGGGCTTATTAATATGCTTGAATTCCCGTAGAATGAGCTCCATTCTTCTCTTCGTTTTTCCATTTACGTCATACGCCTTTGATTTCACCAGAAGCGACGAGGCGTTCCTCGTCGCAAGGCTAAGCTTGGGTTTCTTGGTTTGACATGAATGAACTCTCCCTTACGAGCTCTTCTGTTTGCATATACCCTCACTCATCGCAGGTAATTTACAGATAAACAGCAATGTTGTTGATTGGGGGTAATTGTGGGGGTACGTGTAGATGCAGGTGGCCCAGGCCACTGTGACCCTGTGTTTTGAGGGGACGACACATTCGCGAAACGATCGTGCAAAAGACACATCAGCTGCCTCGATAATTTTCCTTTGTTATCGATGTTTACTGCGTAAGACATAACTCTTTGTCGTTTGCTTCGTTACCTCACTTCTGAATAGCATCTTATTTCAATCCTGGCGCCACAAAAACCAAAGTATTGTTGCTTGCATTCCTGAGTAGGAACTGACCAGTAGTAGTTATGTTACGCTAATGTCTCTCCATTCATCGTATCAGTCGATCAAGTCAGACTCGCCAGCTAATGAACAATTATCAGTTTTTTCTGAGAATGGCACCGGACTGGCTTTTGACAATCAGTAGCTCAGAACTACTACTGAAGCCTAATCCGTAGTACAAGACGCTATCGCCCAATGAGCATTTTATTTAATGCACCTCCCATCTTTCTAGTCGTCCCTCACTCTGGCCCTGGTATGAAGCCTAGCCACCTCCTCCACCAGTGGCCACCTCAAAGCTCTCATGCAGCAGGCCGATAAGCACAAAGTAGCCAATAAACTGCAAAGGGACATCCCACCGGTATACCGGATTGGTCGAGCTTGACTATGCACACAGGGCCAACTAATCTCTACACTTTCTTTCCCGCAGCTCCCTAGCTTTTCTCATCTCTCAGATTCGACAACCTCCCCCTTTTTTTGTTTTTTTTTAAAAAGCTAATTTAGCTACGACCGACACCTCTCGCTAGCGGTCTCATTGTAACCAGGCTTCCTTGGCATCCTTAGCAATGATCTGCCTTGCTGAACGGACTGGTCACTTCAGTAGCTTAAATTTCTAGCCCAGAATCTCTTGCAGTGGCACTTTCAATCAGCTACAATTGACCTGGACTTCTGTAATTACATTGCCTGTGATTTCATTTGAAACAGGATTCGCAATAAATAGGCAACCACCTTAATTATACACTATTCCCAGTTCTCAAGTTCTCATTCTCATGCTGCCCACTATTAGCTTTCACTACTACACTATAGTGTAAACTTTGCCGAATTGTGGAAGACCTGTAAAATTTATGGACTTTTCTTCTTTTGAGTACCAGTTTTTCCCAACCCCATGTTCGAGGATTTCTCTTTCTCAACTTCACTGATGTTTGTGACCATTGATCTCTCTCGGTCATGTCGGCTCCTTTGATTGAACTCTATTGTAAGGTTCCTTTCATCGGCGTTCATTTCATCGTCCGTTAATCTCATGTTACTGTTTGGTTTCACAGTATGATGCTCTTGGAACCCGGTTATCTATGTGCCTACGATTTTCCGTTGGTTCACTTCTCGAGACAGAAGAAAATCGTGACCAGTGAGGTCTTAGATCAATATGCGGTGGATAGTCCATCAACCAGTCGAGGTGATTTTACTTTTGTTACAGATATATGGTAATGATTGACATAACAGAGTTTGGGAAGAGGGCACCCAGTCGCGCCTCCTGTCCCTTTCCCTAACGAAGTCTTACGCTTATAGCGTAGACAACGTAGAGCGATGATCTCCACCAGGTTGGAGCGTTGGTTGAGAAAAGAGGCACGAATGGAAGCTCCTTCAATTTGCGCTAGGGCCCGGTGGATAAGAATTATACCTTCCATTGTCCCATTCTAACCAGAAGAAAATTTCAAAAATATCCTTAGAAATTTTGGATAACTGATTTCATTGATTCATTTCTGTCCATACCATCTCACTTAGAGTTTGATCTATGCCTCATCAAGGTAGGTTTCCATCTGAAAATGAGATGTTTCTTTGTAATGTGAAAATCAAGTTCATTACCAATAAAAAGGCACAAAAAAAAATCAAGTGCGTTCAAGAAAACGAACAAATTCAAAGTATGAAAACGATGTTGCGTCGTCGTCTGACAAGATAAATTTCTGTATTTCGTTTCACGGACTTGTAGTTATTTATAATTAGTTAACTGTTAACTAATCGTTGGGCACAGTTCGGCTTCGTGGGGGTCACTAAATACTCAGCTCACTTGTTAAACTCGTAAATGCTTGTAACCACTTGTACCATTTCGCAGCTTCACAAGAGCTCACAAATTTCACCGAAATCGCACATGTTAGTCAACATGAACTAGCGAAAGAAAGTAATGATAGCAAAAGTGCCCCTCCAAGCCGAACATTACCATTGATTGTACTGACAATAAAGTAGTGATAATATCATTAACGTTTGAGGCTGATGTTCAGCTGATCCGTCGATTATTCTATCGAATCTTTAGGGGAGCTTTTTTTTCCTTTCTTGTCAGCTCGAACGATTACGAATATTTTCCTTTTGAAGCTGGTTCACCATCTGAAGAGAATTCGCTCAACTCGGCACAATCATGGTCGGCAGCGATTCAAGCAGCGTTGATGCCGGTCACACCACAATCGTCAATAGGCGGTCAGAAACGAGCAAACGACATGGCGAAACTGAAAGTGCCCAATGAAGGTCAGTCAGATTAAAGTTCTTGTTATTAGGCAGTGGCAGAAAAAAGTGCAGGTGCACATAAAAATCTTTCTATCTTTCGTAGAAACTGAGGATTTTGTCAGGGAATGCCTGATGTGACGCCTGATGGAGAAAAGTTTCACAATGCGACCTCTCTCTAAAT